CTAATTCTTTATTTTTTTTTCAAGTTATATGGATTTGTTGGTTTATTTGTTTCGGATCTATCATTCATAGGACATTTTAACCATTTGTTTTGTGATTCAAAATTATATTTTTTAAAATAAAAATGGAGATACGGACAAATGAATCAGGGAGAACGCTTCAAAGAAGGAAACAACACTGAGATATTTCCTTATAAGTATCTTCATGCACCCAATACATTGGAAGAGAGTTCCAACCTCACTCTTCACATGGACTTTATTCAATTTCTCTTCTCTCCCATTCTAGAAATATCGTCCAAACACATTATTTCAAAGAAAAATCCTTTTGCAGTTAATCATTTGGATTACTTAAAAATTGTAGGTAGCATGGATATCTAGGCCATGGTTTCTTTCTATTTTTGCGAATTTACTTCCATAGGAATGCGGTGAATATTTAACAAACTTTTATGCACTTTATATTATATCAAAGTAATGGCATTACACACCACACACAGGAAGGCTTCCAACTTTATATTATGTTTGATTGTTCAATTATAATTCAGGGAACACTACAAGAAAATACAGTTTTAGCGTCGGCAAAATTCGATGCTAAATCGACGCTAACGTCATTTAGCGTCGTTTTTGCGTCGAATGACATTTCGACACTAAACTGTCCACGCTAAACTTAATTCGACGCTAATTTAGCGTCGGAATATCTTCGACGCCACCTCGATGCTACATTTCGACGCTAAGTCGACGCTAATTTAGCATCGAATTACCATCAATCTGTTCGACGCTAAACTTAATTCGACGCTAATTTAGCGTCGGAATATCTTCGACGCTAACTCGATGCTACATTTCGATGCTAAGTCGACGCTAATTTAGCATCGAATTACCATCGATTTTTTCCGACACTAATTTAGCGTCGATTTAGCATTGGTTCCGTCTTATGTCGATGCTAAATCGACGCTAATTTTGCGTCATTTTAGCGTCGACATTGGACGTATTCGATGCTATATAGCGTCGATTTAGCATCGAGTTCTATGATTTTCTAAAAAAAAAAAAATTTGTAAATGAAAATATTTTTAATAAATCCCAAATTTTTTAAAAAATTAGAAAATTTTATATATAAATCCGAAAATGAAAACAGAAATTGTTTAAAAACACTGAAAATACAAACAGAAATTTAAATTTTAACGTTCGTCTCTTAGATTAATGTCGTCTCTATATTCATTCATCATAGTTTAGGCTTCTTCGTCGAACTGCGGTTGACCTCTAGGTGGAGGTGGCTGTGTAGGACGCGGTATCCGGGAGAGGACAGCAGCTAAAGTCGGGTTATCCANTGCAATAATGTCCATCANACTTNTCAATACCGTGAGTTGGCCTTGCATCGAACTGTTGGTTGACCGGAGATCCGCTTGTTCCGTCTTTAGTCGGTCAATCTCAGCATTAGCAGCGGTCAACTGCGTTGCCAACTGCGGGTCAGAAGAACTCGGAGTGTAACTATACCGAGCGGTAGAAGAA